CTATTATGGCGTCAGCCTCTTTTGTTAGTTAAAAATATGTTCAGAACCGATGGGATGAGTAATTTAAAATATGTTTAAAGTTAGAAAACACTCACCATCTTCTATAAATGGTTCAAGTAGAGCAGTAGTCGTGTCCAAACCACCCTCCAATCCTCCATCTAGCTCGCTTTGACTTTTTTCGTCGGCCACCAAGCAGAACAACACCTGCACTTATGCATTTGACCACAGCTTTGATATTATTGTTGTTGTATAGCTTCAAAATACTAAAAGATACGCTGCTCGTGTTATCGCTAATGGCAAGCGGGAGAGAAAAAAATGGTGGATCGGGTTGTTTGGAACGACTCCACAGACTCCTCCCCCCGACCAATCAGTGACCGACAGTGTTTCTGACGTCACGGCGCGGCTCGCTCGGAACCCTTGAGAAGCCGGGCCAGAATTTAGCGAGGCGAGCCGGTTTCTGGAACAGTGGAAAGACCTCAAACGCGCTTCAACCCGGAAATATCCGACCCGCGCCGTGACGGTGGAAAAGGGGCATAACTGTTCAATCGTCTTGGGCCTTCTTTGTCACACCTTCCTCTTTATGATGCGCCAAATGTTCTCTATAGGTGAAAGATCTGGGCTGCAGGCTGGCCATTTCAGTACCCGGATCCTTCTCCTACATAGCCATTATGTTGTGATTGCTGCAGAATGTGGTCTGGCATTATCGTGTTGAAAAAAGCAGGGTCTTCTCTGAAAGAGATCACGTCTAGATGGGAGCATATGTTGTTCTAGAACCTGAACATAGTTCTCTGCATTAATGGTGCCTTTCCAGACATGCAAACTGCCCATGCCACAAGCGCTCATGCAACCCCATACCATCAGTGATGCAGACTTCTGAACGGATCATTGATAACAACTTGGGCTATCCTTGTCCTCTCTGGTCCGGATGACATGGCGTCCCAGTTTTCCATAAAAAACTTCAAATCGTGACTCATCTGACCACAGAACAGTCTTCCATTTTGCCACACTCCATTTTAAATGACCCCTGGCCCAGTGCAAATGTCTGAGCTTGTGGAGTTTGCTTAGAAATGGCTTCCTCTTTGCACTGTAGAGTTTCAGCTGGCAACGGCGGATGGCACGGTGGATTGTGTTCACTGACAATGCTTTCTGGAAGTATTCCTGAGCCCATTTTGTTATTTCTTTGACAGTGGCATTCCTGTTTGAGGTGCAGTGACGTTTAAGGGCCCGGAGATCACGAGCATCCAGTAGAGTTTTACGGCCTTGACCCTTACGCACAGCGATTGTTCCAGATTCTCTGAATCTTTTGATGATGTTATGCACGGTTGATGATGATAACTTAAACGTCTTTGCTATTTTACGCTGGGTAACACCATTCTGGTATTGTTGCACTATCTTTCTGCGCAACAGTGGTGGAATTGGTGATCCTTTTACCATCTTGGCTTCTGAGAGACACTGACACTCTGAGAAGCTCTTTTTATACCCAATCATGTTGTCAATTGACCTAATTAGTGTTAATTGGTCTTCCAGCTGTTCGTTATTTGCGCAATTTCCTTTTTCCAACCACTTATTGCTACTTGTCCCAACTTTTTTGGGATTTGTTGACACTGAAATTTTGAATCAACATATTTTTCCTTTAAAATATTACATTTACTCAGATTAGGGGTTGAACGAGTATATAATTTTTAAACTCGACATTAACATAATAAAACCCGAGTAGAACTCGAGTATTTGATGACGTCATAGATCTCAAGATACAAAAATAAATAAATAAAGTCTGAAAACTGCAAAAAAAGTGATTATTTACCAAAAAAAGACCAACAAAACATTGGGAGCGTATATTATGCTCCTACCATTTATCATACTGCAAATAAGTCACAGGAAAAACTAAACTATTAGTTATTATTATTAAACTGCAAACGTGAAGAAACATGCAGCACGTCAAAAACAAAACTTAAACCGAAACTGGTTCTGGTTCGGTGGATTGGACCCGGTGTTACACCATACTCTGTGACCTGCAGCAGTGCAACACCGGCCCCTATAATCATACGGTGGTCACATAATATGACGTCACTACGGATACTCGACATAACATTTTTAACCTCGATAGATGTCCTAGCAATCTATGTGTACATTACTCGAGTACTCTGTTAATGCCCTAACTCAGATTAAACTTTTCATCTGTCATCTATGTTATATTATGAATAAAATATTGACATTTGCCATCTCCACATCATTGCATTCAGTTTTTATTCATAATTTGTTTAGTGTCACAACTTTTTTGGAATCCGGTTTGTACAACAAGAACATCAGTCAAGTTAAACAAAACACAGTAGAATCTCAGTAAGTAGAAATAACTTAAGGAGAAACAAGTCAGTAGAACCTCAGTCAGTGGAACTTCAGTCAATAGAACCTCAATCATTATAACCTCAGTCAGTGGAACAGCAGTCAGTGGAACTTCAGTAAATAGAACCACAAACAGTGGAACATCTGTCAGTGGAACCTCAGGTAGAGGAACCTCAGGTAGTGGAACCTCAATAGTTTCCTAAACCCATTGTTTTGTGGTCCTGATCAGAAACGAGCTCGAGGCCTGCATCTCTTTGAGAAGGTTTGTGATCACATCAACCTGCTGGAGAAAGACTACTTTGCTTTGACCTTCAGGGACGTTGACAATAACAAGGTACCTGTCTGTCTAAAGACCCCTTTGTCCTACCACCTGTCTATATCTCTAACCTTGCTCTTTGTGTTGTAGAACTGGTTAGATCCAGCAAAGGGGATTAAGAAGCAGGTCAGAGGTCAGTTTGATCACAATTGATTCGTTTTGCTGGTTATTGCTCACCAGGGGCCTCATTTACAAATACCTGTATAGATTTCCTACTGAAACATGGCGTATGCTTAAATCAAGAAAACGGTGTACGCACAAATAAATCCAGACATATGAAACCATTTGTACACTTGAATACAAGCACACTTCCTTTCTACATCCCAATCAAAGTGGAACTGATCGCACAGGGTTTATTCATTCATTCATACCTATATGCTCACACAGACTCAGGTTCGGGTTGCTTTAATACAGTAGTCCCTCGTGTATGGCGGTGGATCCATACCCTGAAGCCCCATGATAAGTGGAAAAACTGTGAAGTAGGAATAGTCGTACAATTAGTAAATAGTATTTTATATAAGTGTGTGTGTGTATATTTGTGTATATGTATATATATATATATACATAAGAAGATTCTGTTCTCATTCAAAAACGTGTTTAATTGAATGAAAACTATTTTCTCCAGGATTTTGGACAGGAAGGGAAGTTTTGAGATTGGTCTGAAATTTGAGCAAGTCGAAGGGTCAAGTCCAGGTTTCTTAATTAACGGATGAACTACTGCATGTTTGAAAACATCGGGAACCACACTTGTCACAATACTACTATTTATAATAGTAAGAACAGATGGTCCAATCGTGGGTAGAACTTGTTTGAAAAACGACGCAGGAATGGGGTCAGCAGGGGAACCAGAGGGTTTCATCTGATCAACGACTTTGTTTAGAAATGGGAGTGAAATGGGTTCAAACTGTTTGAAGACAGCTGAGCAAGGTACAAAGACAGAAGGATCAGTTGTGGACTGGGGGATGGATGACCTAATCAACTCTACCTTATCAGCAAAGTATCTGGTAAAGTTGTTGCAGATGTCAACAGAGGCCTCCATGCTGG